CTGCTGCAGCGGGTCCTGCTGCTGCTGCTGCTGCAGCTGATTTGTTTGCTGGTGTCTCTTTGCTGCTTAATATAAACGTTTGCTGCTGGATGCAAGGAATCTGCTGCTGCCTGCAGCAGCTGTTGCTGGGGCCCCTTTCCTCACCCAAGCAGCAGCAGCAGCAGCAGCAACAGGCTATATGGTTTAGACCTGACAGCGTTTATTAAATAAATAAAGACAAAGAAGTTTGTTCTGAGGAACATGGTAGGGCCTCTAAACAATTAGAAGAAACACCAGGGGCCTCCTCTGTAGCTCTAGACAGAGCAGCAGCAGCAGCAGCAGTGGCAGCAGCAGCAGCAGCCGGGTGGTGCTGCTGCTGCTGCTACAGAAGGCAGCGGAGTTTGCAGTTCAATTGATTATTACTTAGTTAATAAACAATCCAATTAACAATATTATACATTCAGTGCTTCTGCTGCTGCAGCAAAACGCGGCAACACAGGGCATAGCTAGTTTATGTAGCTGCCGACCGCAGCAGCAGCAGCAACAGCAGCAGCAGCAGCAGCAGCAGCAGCGGGTCGTTGAGCTAGTTAATTAAGACTTTCCCTAAGCACAGATAGCAAAAGGAATATATAGAGATTCTGACAGTCACGCCTCTTGCTGCAGCTGCTCTGGGCTGCTCCAGCTGCTGCTGCTGCTGTTGCTGCTGCAGCTACTGCGGCTGCTGCTGCTGTTGTGTGCCCCACTGTTCTGGCTTCCTTTAGAAGACAGCAGCGCGCTGTCTGTCACTTGGCCCAACGAAAGGTATAGGAGAGCAGCAGCAAAGCTTGGTGCTTGGGCGCTGCAGCAGACGAAGCAGCAGCAACAGCAGCAGCAGCAGCAGCAGCAGCAGCAACACTGCTGCTGCAGCAGGGAAGGCTGCAGAAGAGCACACAACGGCGCTAATAGCAGGCTCACTCGGAGTTGCATGGAGATGCAGCACGACCCCAATAGCAGCAGCGGCTGCAGCAGAAGCAGCAGCAGCAGCAGCAGCAGCAGGGACTGCCAGGGCGGCAGCAGGGAAGCAGACTGCAGCAACAGCAGCAGCAGCGGCAGCAACATCTCCGGAGAGGGGCAGTGCGAAGGGCCTCCTTTACTTAGAGACGCTTCGTCAGTAAGCAGCAGCAGGCTGGAGGACAGCGCCAGCAGCAATGCAGCAGAAGCCGCAGCAGCAGCAGCAGCAGCAGCAGCAAACGTTAGCCCTCAGCCTGTTGATGCACTCCCGTGTAACTCTGCTTCCAGTACCAGCAGCAGCAGCAAATACGACAGCCCGCCCCAAGTGCTAGAGAAGCATTCAGAAGCAGCAGCAGCAGCATGTGCTGCTGCCGCTGCAGCTGCAGCAGCTGCTGCTGCGGAGACAATGAAAGGCGCTCCTAGGCTTGGGCAGGGCACAGACGCAGCAGCAGCAGCAGATGCTGCTGCTAATGTTGCAGGAGCAGGTGCACGAAGGGCGGCAGCAGCAGAGCGGGCAGCAGCAGCAGCAGCAGCAGCAACAGCAGAAGCAGCTATTGAGTCTCTTGCTGCCCTCTTAGACAGCCCGCATCAGCAACCATCTCGCAGCGTTGCTGCTGCTGTTGCTGCTGTGCACACGGCAACAGCAGAAGCAGAGCAGGCAGCGCTTGCTGCTGCTGCTGCAGCAGCTGCTGCTGCCGCTGCTGCTGCTGCCGCTGCCGCTGCGTCGCAGCAGCCTGCGGAGAGCAATCACCAGCCAGCTGCAGAGGAAACAACAACAGCAACATTAGCAGCAGCAGCAGCAGCAGCAACAGCAGCAGCAGCTGCTGCAGTTGCAGAAACAGAAGCAGCAGATATAGATGTTGCAGCAGCAAGCCTGCAGCAGCACCCTAGTGCAGCAGGCTGCCGGCTCTCTCTGCAGCAAGACAGGGACACGCCGACCTCAGCTGCTGATGGCCTCGCA